GTTTGTGGGTTGTTTAGTTCAGTTGGCTGTTGTTGTTACAGGATAGTCGTTTGTTGATATATTTTTTGTTTGTTGTTCATGTATGCATGCTAAAAATGTTGTTTGTTGCCTGCACCGGCTGTTGTTGTCTATGATTTTAAAGTTTTTTTTATTTGTTATGTTGTGTTTTGTTTGATGTAACTTTTTTTTGTTTTAAAATTTGCATTTGTATGATTTGTTTTCATTAGATTTTCAAAATTTTTATTGTCTGTAATTGTTGACTTGCATGAAACATTCACGTGTGATTTATAACGATATCGAATGTCGCTGAGTCATAAATGCTGTCGTGCCAGATTTGATAAAATGTTTTGCATTAAACAGTCATTTTGAATTATTTTCATTAGAATTATAAAACCTATTCACGTCATCTGTTATTTACCTATAATACACGTTCTTCACACAATAATTGAAAAAAGTTTACATATTTTATTTTATAATTCTGTTTAATCGCTTGGTAAACTCTGCCTAACACACTTTTCTTCATGATTCGTTCAGTTTATTTGATTGTGGTCGTTGCTGTACTGGCACTGGCTACCAAACCATTGTTTATATTCCATTTATATTTCATTTATATTTCAGCTGATGACTTCGGAAGCGTTTAACGGCGTATACCTCACTAGCAAACGGATATGCGATGCAAATTTAAATAGATGACGTGCAAATGACACAATTAGTAAAAATGTTCTTTAATTGTGCATTCGCAAACAAAATCAACAACAAAAACTAAAACAACAGTAAAAACTAAAAATCTTTTCAAGAATGAATTGTACAAATATTCTACTGTTTCAATAAATATAACAAAAACAACAAAATCAACAAAAACAACAACCACAACAACAGCAACAACGTCAACAACAACAACAACGATGACAACGACGTCACGAACAACAAAGAAATGAATTAAACGTAACGATTTAAAAGAAGAAACATAGTTAATTGTTTGATTGATGGACCGGTGCAGGTTTAATGTTTGACTCTAACAAATTAAAAGCTGGCGAAACGTTTTGTGTAGATGTGCCGAAAGAACGCCTAATATTTCAAACTTTATTCATCAAAACTTTTAAAGCCAATCACAAATTTCATGAAATTTCAATCGATTTAGCTTCGAGATGTTGCATCACTTCATTCACACAGAGTAGGCAAGCAGTATCGTTCGTTGCTACTTGTGACATGTTGCTTGCATCGCGGTATTTTATATTGCAAATTGTACATTTGCATGCTGACATGACGCAATCAGCCAGCCGTTGAAAGAGAAATGGAAAGAAAAAAAAACAGAGAATGAAAAGGAATAAGCGAGCGAGCGAATGAAGGAATGGAGGCTAGATGGAATGAATAACAAGGCGAAAGAAAAGATGGAAGTTGTTTATTAGTGTGCTTTCTCTTCTAACAACTGTCCAATGAATGATTTCCTCTCCTTGCGTCTGATTGACAGTCCAATTATGAACATAAAAAAATCATAAAACAATTGAATAAATCTCATTTAGACGTTTATTATTAAATTTTTATTTATGATTTATAATGAAAAGATGAATATGAATAAAATAATAATAATAAGTAAAATAAAAATATATTATATATTTGATAAATGTTTAGTTTTAGGAGCATCCAGATGAATGAACGTTCTAAAAGATGCTGCTTCAAATTTTTTCAAAGTTTCAAAAGTTGTCGTTGCTGAACGTTAGGTGGCCAACTGTTGTTTTATACCAAGAGCCAAATGGTCTTTGTAGACGAAAAGATGATGATGGGCTCTATGATCTTCTGATGATGAAAAGTTAATGGAGGTGTGTTTGTTGGAAGAGTCTGCTAGAGATGTGTTTGTTGGAGGAGTCTGCTAGAGGTGTGTTTTTCAAAAGGGTTTGACTGTCTCATGTGCGAAGGCAGCCATTTTATAGATGGTGTTTATGAATTGGTCGCTAAATTTAGGAGAATGAAAAAATATGATGGCCGGCAGGGTAAGTCAAAAAAAGTACGACAAGTTTTTTGAATGTGCTGAAGTAAAAAAATTAAGTAGGGATACGTTTTCCTTTAAAAAGTAATTTGTATTTAATGTTATAAATAACAATTTGAACATGTGCATTAACATGACCAGACCATGATGACATGATCAGGGAGAAGTCCATGATCGAATCGAAACTTTTATCTCTAAAAACAATGCACAACCATCATAAAAATCTAATCTGTGACCACCAAAAGAACAGAAAAATAATAATCCATACAAACCAGTAAAAAATTCAAAGTCCCCAGAAAGATTAGAAAGCGAAGGATAAAATAAAAATATAGATGGAGCAAATGGAAAGAGCTCAAATTTATTAAACAGGTTGTAGATATTATTTCTTTTTTAAGTTCAATCGGAAAGTTCTTTACAAAAGTTTTGCTGATACTCTTTTAGATAGTGTTTACATTTCAAACACAGACAGACAAAATAAGTAGCTGAATAAAAAATGACAGAACTTGTCATTTTGAATCTGACAAAAGAACAAATTTTGAATGTCACGTTAGATAGCAAAAAAATAAAAGATATGGTTCAAGAGGCTATTTTAGAATTGCAAATGTGTACAAAAAACTTGAAAATTTTGTTTGATGAACTAAACACGGACAGTTTTCCAATCAGAAATAGCAGAAGAAAATATATGAAAATGTCAGAACCTATGAACTCAACGGACGATATACATGTGCATGCAGCTGACACTAGATTCTTAACAATGACATCAACATCAGTGGCATCGTTGACGTCATCAACTACCTTGAAAAGGAACTAAAGAAATAAACATCAGCAGCATCTTTGAGACTACCACCACCACCAACAACAAGCACAACATCGTACACCACAAGAAAATATTAACAGCTGAAGCAACACAAACAACAATAAAGTCTTGACGACAATTTTAAAAAATGGTTATTTTTGTTTGGCTGACATTTGGCTTTAATCAAAATTTCAAACAAATAACGCAGAATTAAAGTTATATATTGCAAATTTGTCTTTGCGATTGCAAACAATCTATCATGTACGCCCACACACACACAATCATACATTGAAACATACACATGCATACATACGTACACTTAAACAATCGTGTGTATAAAAAATTCTAGAATAAATTTTCATTTGAAATGTAATGACATAAGTAGCGCCGGCATCGCACATGCCCTTGCAACGTGCAACTCGCTAATATGAACCCACCACACAAACGTGCATCAGTGGAGTGTTGAGAGGAATAAAATCTGAAAAAACCAGCAAACATGCAAAAAAAATGTCTGCTTGCGTTGTTCACTTTAAAGCTGCCTTGCTCTAGTCTGTTTAATGTTTCATTTCAGGAACTATTCATACGACGCAATTTCCAATAAGTTCCAACCATTTTTTAATTGTGAAAAATTAAAAATCTGTCAACGCAGACGACCTTTTGAACAGCTCCGACTGTAATTGTATAATTATATAATTGTAAATTATATCGTTTAAAATCATTAAAATGACATCCTAATATTTAATTAGCTGAGATCTGACTAATGAGGAGAACTACACCCCGTCCGTACAATCACTAACAACAACAATCGCAAAACTGGATTTGCTCCTTGTAGCTTCTAACAAACTCGTGTGTACCTTCAACAGTTTTATTTGTTTCATGTAGCTCTGTGATCTGTTTGAGGTTTCTGCAGCAGCTGTTGTGTCATTTAAGAAGAAGAAGCTTGCTCATCTAATGCATACTCCGACTGTTTCATGAGACAATGTCGTTGTTGTATGAGTGTTGGTTGCTTGGTTGCTGGTTGCCTACTGTCTCATATGTTCTTCGCGATGTTTTGTTGCTTTGTTGAAATAAGTTTGTTGTGAATTATTTTAGTTGGCAAGTGCTTGTAAGATGTTGTTTGAAGTAGTTTATTTCATTTGTGTTAGTCTCTGTTGGAAGTTGATGCACATTTATTTGAAATTCTGGCACATTTGGTTTACATTCTATTGATTGGTTTTTGGTTACGAATAACGGTAATGTAAAAAGTGTCTACGTTTTAACAATAATGTTACAAAAATATTAAGTTTTGCCAGCTGAAACTCAATTTTTTATCAATATCTAAAAAACAACTTTTAACAGCAGCTATGATTCTCAGTCACATCGTACCTTGAAACATTTTTAAGAACAATATACGTAATAACATAATAGGTAACACCACATACACTATTATAGACAACACACACACAACATCACTTCAGGTACACACTTTTATTTTTTACTTTTACTTTTTTCTACTTACGTTGTGACATTATTTTAAAAAATCTCCCACAAACGCCGCTGTCAAGTGACACAACGATGAGACAAGCCACAACATTTTGTCGGAAATTTATGGGAGAACATTTTTTCATACATATTTAAAAAATTATTTAATTTGTTTTCACTGAAACCTAAATAAGCGGGGAAATGGAAAACTTTATGATGAAGTGCCCAATCTTGCGTTGAAATTGCACGCTGATGCGTATGATGATTTATTTTGCACGTATGCATATATTTGTGTAAAGGTTTGAAAAAAGTTGAAAAGCATCTTTTAAGGTAAACAAATTAATATATTTTCAATATTATTTTAAAAATTATTTCAGAAACTGATTGGGAATGTTATTGAGTTATATAAATAGAGATGTCAAATTTTTTTCGCACGCCAACTGCAGTCCGTTTTCTTATTTCACGATCCATCCTGCCAATTCAATATGTTCTCCATGTCATCCTGTCAAAGTGTTTAATTTAGCTGATCGTTCAGTGGCTGCTCTACCCGTCTTTTTCCATAATTGTTTCTATCTCTAGATTTCATTTTTTCACATTGGCCACCCACTTCTAAGATGTAAAATAATTTATAAATAAGTGCATTCCAACATAAATCTTAATTCGCAAAATAATTTATTTCTAATATTTTTATCAGAAAGTATGAAAAACTAAGCTAGCTAGTCTTTGGCAATTTTTTGTTTGAAATTTTAAATTTTTCTAAAATATTTTGGGCCAGGTGTGCTTTTGAATGTTTCGCTCCTTTTTGGTCTTTTTTCCTGACAACTCATCCGTCCTTTTAAAAGTCAACGCAGGAATTCCCTGGCTGCAACATTAATTATAAGGTGCTGTTGAACATTTCAATTTGTCAAATTTACTCTTGAAGAAAAAGCATAATATGTTTTGCTTATTGCTGTGATTTTGAGTGACCAAAAAAAAAAACAAAATAAATTTACTCGCATTCGTTTAAACGAAGATTTATTGTATTATTTTGATTTATAGATTTTGATTCAGTTACGGATAGAATGAATTGTTTGAAGCGATTATCGTGCATAGGTCTTTTTGTTAACTTTTAAATTGAATTTGGTTGTTTGGTTGTCAAATATAAATTTATTTCAATTTTTTTTAATATAAAATGTATATGTTATTGTATCTATGGTATGCATAACTTATAGTTACCATTATAAAATTGAAAGACATTAAAAAAACAGAAACAACAAAGACGATACATTTGTATAGATAACATCTAATTTAAAAACGCCCACATAACAGGACACCTACCGTCAGCATCAATAAATTGCCATCAACCTCTTCTCATATTTTTTTTTGGCTCCAAACTCAAGTTTCTATGGCAACTAAACAACTGCCGTTTGCGTATCAGATTTATTTAAGTTTTTTATTTATTTGCGCAGCATTTGTTTACATTATTTATGTCAAAATCCTCCAATAACTCACCTATTTTCACTCACTCACTCACTCACTCACTCACTCACTCACTCACTCACTCACTCACTCACTCACTCACTCACTCACTCACTCACTCACTCACTCACTCACTCACTCACTCACTCACTCACTCACTCACTCACTCACTCACTCACTCACTCACTCACTCACTCATTCACTCACCTGTTTGTAGACGTAATCTCCACCTTGGTCATTTATGAACTGGAACTTCATGGCATCCAGCTGGCACATGTAACCTTTCTTCAAGGACGATGGTGATGACGATGAATGAGATGACGGCGATTTGTTGTTTTCTAATTTCCTGCGATATTTTTTCCCTCCGAACTGTCTGGCGTGACGTTTGCTTATTGTCCTGATGAAAATTGTTTTGTTGTTGTTCTTGTTGTGCAGTTGTGCCGCGTTCATCTTATTGTTCTTATTATTAAAGCTAAATTTTTTGCTGTGATGATTTTTTACATTATATAATTTATCCATGTTATTGTTGATGTGATAACTGTTGTTGTTGTTGAAATTGTTGTTGTTTTTGAAATGTTTTTTGGTGTTGGTGTTTTTATCACCTAAACTGTTTTTTATTCGTGTGTTCGAAGAAAAGCCAAAATTTATTCCTAAAGATGGCTCTGTAGTGTCTTGCCATTTCTTATTGTTGTTGTCAAAGTTGTTGATATGGTCGTTGTTGATTTTGTTTTCGAAACTGTTGTCTACAAAATTATTGTTGATGTTGTTGTTGATGATGTTGTTGTTGTGATAAATGTTATTGACGCTGCTATCCACCTGATCATTGTTATTGCCACTATAAACTCCATCGGCTGGTTCAGAGGTTAATTGACGTTTGTTGTTGCGCCATGTGTTGTTGTGTAAATTGTAGCTGTTGTGTGTGTTGTAGTTGTTGTGCATGTCGTAGTTGTTGTTCGGTAGGTTGTAGCTGTTGCGTAAATTTTTTTTTACTGTTTCATGCAATTTATAATTGTAATTCGTGTTGCCGTGCGTTACGTGTTTGTTGTAGTCTGCCTGATAACGTTTAATGGAATCGAAATCATTGTAGAACGCCTCATCGTCAACACGACCGAGCAGATGCAAGCTGCTATCATCGTTATGATAAATGTAATTATCAAAATCTTGTCGCTTCTTTTGAATTGATTCTTCGAAACTTCCACCGAATCCGTTGTTTTGGCCGCTGTGGTAGGTGCGATCGTGGTCGAGAAAATGATTGGAAAAGTGATCGTCGTCGTTGAAATTGATAGATTGTGGATCGAGGTCACTGTTTTGGAAAGGTTTGCAGCAGGATTCAGGTACGAAGTCAGTTTCCACGTCTTTACTGCTGTTGAACCACAAACTGTGGTAGTAGTCCAGTGGTCCGACAACCCCGCAACATTTTATCTGAAGAGTTATTAAGTTCATTATTAAACTAGCATTGTTAGTAAACACTACACAAGTATACGAAACACGCGCAACCGCTATCTAAATATTTTCATTCAATTATTTACTCATTACAAAAAGTATCAAAAGTGATTAAAAATTCATTCAATTTAATTATTTAATTCAGTCAACGAAATGTTCATAAAAGGATTTATTAGAGACGCCACAAACGTCCGCTCAAAATTTGATGCCCAGCCTCGCCCAGATTTAGAAGGCGAACGGTGCGGTTTCTGTTTGAGCTAACTTTTTTTTTTATTCCAGAACAATTGATGATTATTATCAACAAATGTTTATTGTTATTGTTGGCAGTAAACTTATTTTGGTCTCAACAGTTGTATAAACATTTGTATTTGAACGAGGTTAAATAATAGTTATATAGACATAAACTGCCTCTTGTTTTTTATTAGTTTGTTTTTCATTCTAAATTTTTTTTCAAAATTGTAGATTTTTTGGTATTCTGCCTTCAGCTTCAGCCGAATGGTGGATCAACTACTCGGTTATTCGGCCGAATTCTCTATTCGGTACATCTCTTTCGTCATTCAAATATTGCTTGTAAAGATAGTAAAGCTTGTAACGATAAAAACTTTTAGAAGTTGAATAATTTTTATAAATTAATCTTTCTGACATAAAATGGGATCTTTGAAGGAAATTATCGGTTCGAGTTGATATATTGATAGCAGGGACATGTCGTTGTTTGGTTTTATGATAGAATACGGCGTGTCTTTGTCTGCGTTTGCTGTGTAAGAATGCATGAAATATTTGTGTTTCTTTTTATGACTAAATATCCATGCTAATTGTTTTTTGTCTTGAAAAATAAAAAATTCATGCAAAAATTTAATTAGTACCAGTCAATTTATCTTCATGGAAGATTTTCATTATTTGTTACTTAAGATGTATAAAAAGTTTAAATTGGACAAGATAACTTTAAGTAACACCAAGAACGTAAAATGTGTTACTCTTATGAAATTAATTATCTCGAGACCAAAAAATAATTTCTAAAAATCACTAGCAGCGCTCCTTCATTTTAAAATTTTATCAATTTTTATAACCATAGTTCATCGTTAACATCAACCGCATTCTCTTAACTATCATTCTCGCTATCATCATCATCGTCGTCATCATTATTGCCGTCTATTATTTTCCTCATTTTTTAGTGGTAATTGCGTTTAACACCCATGTCAATCTACCGACGTCATCCTCCTCCTCATCATCATCATCAGCTGCAGCAGCAGCAGCAGCACGACCTTCCCCTTTCTCCCCTCTCACTCAACATCTTTCTTCCATTTCTACATTTTGTCATCATTAAAGCCTCATTTTCATAATAATAATAACTATTATTGTTGTTTATTATTATTAATAGTATTAGTATTTTGTTATGATTTGTATTTATTGTTAATATTATTTATTATTATTAATATTGTTATTATTAGTATTTATTACTATTATTAGATTAACTTCTAGAATTAACAGTGTGTCATGAAACAAATTTGACAAAATCGAATGATTTTAAAATTAACAAATGCAATCAAAATTTGCAATCAAACCTAAGAGGTGAATACCATAACTCTGGACTTTTAACAAGATCTTTTGAAATTTTTGTATTATAATTTTATATAACACTTTAATCTAGCGCTAGTCAATTTAGGTGGGTTTGAACGTTTGAGAAACATTTCAATAAATTGTGTTTTATCATCATCACGTTCAATATATCGTGACAGAAATATCGAACATATTATATTTTAAACTATCACCTTCTATTAGTACTCATTCATATTGAATGACCAGCCCAGCCAGTCAGCAACTTAATGATTTTCACTAGCTTAATAATCGCCACTATTATCATCAACAATATAACAGTTATCATTATCATCATCATCAGCAACATCATTATCATCATCATTATCACCGTTGATTGAATTTGATCCCACGATGACGTCATCCTCTGATCAGCTGACGTGTTGTACTCGTACTTAACCTGGTACATCATGCTCTCCTTCAGACTGCTTTCCATCTGGAGAGAATGAAATTAACACAAATTATAATATTAATATGAATAATGATAACATTAACATAAGTTATAATACTAATATAAACAATGATTTACATAAATTATAGTGGCAAAATAAATAATAACGAGACTAACAAGTAAAACAAATGTCGATATTTATAAAGTGCCTAGCCCATATCTGCCTCAGAGGTATATCCAGAGTCTATGAACACGTTTTGACGACATAATTTTTCAACAATTTTTTTACATCCCAGTAAAGAACTCTGTTTTAGCTCAGATGAAAATTCTCTTAAAAAACTTGAAGCAGTATGGTTAAAGTTAAAACGTAAAACGTTTGCTTGTAAAATCCTGATTGTTAGACATAAAATCCAAGTGATTCAAACAAGAAAGGTGGTAGAGGAAGAAACACTATCAGTCAAATATGATTAAAACATGCGTTGCAACTGCCGTGCTTATTTCATCAATGGTATCATCTGCGATGTGTAGGAATGTTGCTACAGTTGACTGAGAAAACTATAACAAACAAAAATATTAGAAAATGTTTGAAGGGTTCTAATTTTAGCCGGCGAGAAACGATTGTAAATAATGTAATGTGAAGAATAAATCTAGAGATTTTAACATTTAACTAGATCATTTCAAAAATAAGAGATGACTTTTCCAGTTGTGGTACAAACTTGGGCGGTTTTCATTCTCAAGCCTAATTCAACTCGTTAATTTTACAAACATGGGTGCAGAGATGGACAGGTCGAACGAGGACCTGTGGTGTGGTTTGCTGAGGGATTAAGATTGGATGTTTCATTTAAGATTCAATGTGGTTCCTTCTATTGCTCGAAATCTTGTTGTTGTTCGAGTTGTTGCTTGAACTTTTAACGATGTACGTGGCTTTATTAAACTTTTAATCGTTGTTCAGTTTGATGTTGCTTGTTTTACATTGTTTGTTGATGAAAAAATAGCTTTGAAATATTATAAATTATACGGTCAGAAAAAAACGCAAAATAGTTTATTGAAAGATGCGATGTTGTGGGTTGGATGTATGAACTGGAAAATAAAAGAAGCTACATACTCTTTCCTGGTAGTTAGTTGCCAGGACGACCAAGATGATCTGGATGATGAGGAAGAAGAGGAGGAGGACTGTGTACTGCATAATATTGGTGGTAGTGAGGATGGTGATGATTGTGTGATGGTGACAATGGTGATGATGATTGGGTGATGATGATGGTGGTGATGATTATGTGATCGTGGTTATGATGATGGTGATGATGTGATGATGATGTGATGTAAGTTAAGAAGATGTAAACAATAATGTCTGATGAAAACAACGATGACGATGATTGTGATAATGGCACCGCACACCACCACACACCACCACAGACCCTCACACAATCCCACTCACAAATCCTAGAAAGCAGACACTTTCCGTGCAAGCACCACAACATCCTAGAAAGCCGATGATGGAGACGATGGCACCTGACACGATGAGGAAGACGGCCACCCTGTCTGACACAAAGAAGGGGTTGGTAGGGTTGTCCCTGAGCAGAATTCCCAGGTGGTTCGTCTCCCGGTAGATGTGCACCCACACTCCGCCAGCCATCATCGACCAGCCTATTATCTGCAATCAATTTGGATGTTTTAAATTTTAATATGCTAATTTGCTGCGTTGTAAATATTTTTTTAAGGAGGTGTGTGTGTATGTTTATAATTATAATATGCTAATTTCAAATGTTTTTTAGGAGGGCGTTTACAATAATAATATGTTAATTTACTGAGTTGTATATGTCTTTTTATTTATCTAATAATCAAATACGTTTTTCGAAAGCTGAAAACGACATATAAGGTTATCATGTTACAGCGCCGTATCACTGTGGTTGTATTAATTAATTAATCAACAATAATAATATTAATATTAATATTAATTAATTGCAAGGTGTCCCGTATAACATTTAGAATCAGTTGATGATATTGTTAGCTGCACAGTATGATAATATATATATGAAATTTGTTAAAAGTGGAAAAGTCTTTTAACGAACGCTCCAACGGGGGAAACATTTACAACGTTAACTAGATGTATCAGACATCGTTTTGAATGGCAACATAAATCAATACAAAGACGAGAGTAACAATGCTAACAGTGTAGAATGTTTAACAGCAACAAAAACAACTGTGTTAAAAACATAGATTGTAACACAAGCATAGATGAAAAGGAAAGATTTTTGTTGTAACATCGATGCAATCAATTAATAATAATAATCCTAGCAATCTACATTCCTACAGAACTAATATTGACGAACGTGCGCTTTGTTGAAAGTAATTATGATAATGATGATTATTTGAATGATGAAAATTTTGATGATGATAATGTTGATGATGATGCTGATGATTACGATGTTGATAATGATGATGATGTTGATGATAATGTTGATGATGATGCTGGTGATGATGCTGATGATT